CTCTTGGTCAGGGTTCGGTACCAGTCGGTCTTGGAGTTGGCCATGTTCAGGGGGTGGGCGATCGGAAGGACGGTCCCGTACTGCTTGAAGTGCTGCTGCAGCTCCCTGCTGGTGTAGCTGGGTCKGGCTTCCAGCTCCGAGACGCCGAGATTCAGCACCTCCGGAAGGATGCTCCGGGTGTCGATGAAGATCTTGAGCCATCCCAGCCGGTCCAGGTTGTTCACGCACTGGCTCAGGTCGTGAATCGTGTCTCCGGAGCTTTCCGCACCCGCYRTTCCCCTTCCGCCGCCGGCAACCAGGGTTTCTTCCTCGCCGGRAAGGGTGGCCACCTGCAGGGCCACGTGTCCGGTGTCTTCCATGAGCCGGATCGACGACGTCGCGAGGGTTTCCGAATCCTGGTGGTGGTGGACCGAATCGCTGAGCGASGAGAGAAAGGCRCCCGACGAGACAGAGACCAGGAAATCGGTGTTGTAGGCATTCGCCACCGCGATCCGCTTTTGGAACCGCCCGAGGGGCCGCAGGAAGTCGACGGGGCCGTCGCCATCCAGGTGGCACATGTCCGTGACCACGGTGGAGGAYCGGACCCCGAACAAATCGTCCATGGTCTGCTGCCCAAAGGCGGAGGAAACCCAGGGTTCCGTCCATTTCGGTAGCTCGATGAAGGTTTCCTGYGACACCCCCAGGTGCGGCGAAGACGTCGTGCAAAAGACCAAGGGGAGGACCCCCCGGTCGGTGCCGCGTTCGTCTCCCGGATCGCGGAACAAGCCCTCGAGCTCGGCCAGCGCATACCGGCTGTAGAGCCCGCCCAGAGAATTCCCCACCAGGGAGAGGGTCARGACGGYCGGCGGGTYCGACGCGGATGCTTCCACCCCGGCTCTTTCGTTCCGGATCCAGTCGGAGATCTCGGCCGCGAGCCGCGCTCCGCCCTCKGCGATGCCGTCGGCGGTCAGCTCCAAACGRCCCGAGTTGGCCCTGGAATTCAGAACGGCAACCCTGTGGTTGTCTCGGAACGGCCGACAGGAACTCGATTCGCCGCCCGTCGCTTCCGGCCTTYCGCCGTCGGTTTCGATCCCAACCCGCAGTTTCTCGGTCTCTCTCTCCACCGCCTCGCCCAGGTATTCCTGCTCGCGGTACGAGCCCATGTACCCGTGGACGAGAACCACCAGGTGGTGGTAGTTCTTGCGGACGGCGGAMGGCGCCGCTTGGCACTGTTTTTCCGCGGCCAGTCCCGCCGAGGAAGAAAAGGCATTCTGGAGCAGCAGAAACAGAAGGGCACCCCTCCGCAGCCCGGACAGCGGGGCACAAAGGCCTCGC